AGGGCTCACACCATTCACCATTCAGTTAGCAAAGGGCTCAAGCCCCCGCCCCCGCCCCCTCCCAAAGAAAAAAATATTGAGGCGTAATTGAACGAAATCCGAGGAGCCACTGGCGAATTTTGGGACAGGCCTTATGTTTCCATTGTTCAGCCACCCGCCCGTAACTTATCACTTGACTCACTCTGTCCATAAAGTTGGCCCAGTTGCCGGCACACGCGCTGGCTGCGTCGTAGCGGTATCGTCGGGACTTCTTCCGCCAGCTGGTCAGGACAGGCCGCGCTGCCCACCGATTCCGTCCCATTCGCCGTTAGTGCGTCCTCCGCGCTGTCCGGGTTGTCAGCGACTGCGCCAGAGACGTCTTGTTGTGGCGGATTCGCGGCCAGGTATAGGGGGCCGTCGTCTTCCTTGTCACTGGCGTCACACTGTGATGCATCGCTGTACCGAGGCCGCAGGTCCCGCACGTGCCACGGTACGCCATCCATCTCGGCCACTTGCGATGCCACGATCCGCGTGACGATGCCCCGACGAGATGTTCGGCATATCCAGACGAGGTCACCAACTTGGAACGTGGAGGTGCCCAGCCGTTGTCGTGCCTCGTCTGGCGCCGGCGGTGACCACTGCGAGTCATCGGCCGTGTCACACTGGCTGGGCTGCATGCAGTCTACCATCTAGTCCTGGTAGATGCCAGCGGCCGGTGCGTCCGCGGCAGACTAGCCAGAACGCGGGGTGATGTACAGATGTACGGGCCCTGCAATGGCGCAACGTCGTCGCGCAGCGATCACTTTTATTGTGCGATGACTGCGCTCCACGGTTGCGTCGGCACGGCACAGCTGCCGCCATAGGCTGTACCGGGACGGCCCGCAGTCAATCAGGGACAGGTGCGATCCACCTTGGTAGTGGGTCACGTCCATCGCAAGACGCGTCCATGTGTCGGGGACGTGCAGCGAGCCATGCCGCCATCGCGCTGGTGCGGGGTCGATGGATTGACACCCATCGCACCGACCCACAACCGACTGCACGGCGACTCGGGACACCTCCCGCGCTGCGTTGCGCCTCACGAAGTGCAGCCTCCGGCGGATTCCTGAATGGCCGGCACTCTCGTGTGCAGCCATGATCCGCGCTTCGATTTTCATGCTATTGCCGCCCTTCGCCTAGTCAGCACCATCATGCTGGGCGGCAGCTGCCGCCCTGGAGCCGATGCGCATGCTCTCGCCACCTCCCACGGCGTGCACCCCTGGTGTGTGCCGGGATCCTAGCTGACCCACCGCCGTCCACCTGAGTCCCGCGCAGCCGTTCCTTTGGGGCACAGGTCAGAGTATCCGCTCGGTTTTCATCCGACCGCTCCAGCGCGACCGTCAGCGCAGGCTCAGCTCATCCATCAAATGCCGGATGACGTCGGATCAGCATTTCGCCACGCGCCTTCATGCGAAGACGCGCGCGGCCACTCAGCGCGTCGTCAGTCCACCGATCAGCCGTGGTGGAGTCAGTACGGAGGTCAATGATCTTCATCTCCCAGGCGATGGCCAGGTTGATCCCGCGCACCGCCGCATCTAGCTTCGTCATGTTTGTGTGTGCTGACATCGTGGTCTCAGGGCGCAGCCAGCAGGCATCCTCTACCTCATCGTCGTCCAGGCTCTCGATAACCACACCTGCAGCGATGACGCTGGCGTCCGTCCAAATGATGACCTTTTCAGCTGTCAGGCCCCACGGGCTGCGGGCCTGGTCACGTGTCCTCAGTCGATCTTGCCACGTCCGTGGTGGCGTCGCCGCATCCGTGCGTGACGGCATTCGCCCTGCGCTTCAGCCCAGCGACGGCAGGCAGGTCGAAGCCATCCGCCGACCGGCAGGAAGCCACCAGCCGGCCGCACCTATGTGAATACAAGCGCGCCGCGTGACCTGCTCCGGTGTGCAGCGACGAACGCATTGTCCGCGCAGCCAGTGCAGTTTCCCCATCCACCAGCTGTACGCACAGGCCGAAGCAGGTGCGCGCCGTCCAGCTACGACGCTCCAGCGCTTTGCAGGCCAGGCCGAAGCGAGCGAGTGACGCACCACGCGGTCTGCGCTCACGATGTCCTCGTCGACCAGCAGGTCGTCCACGTACGGGGGGAGCGCGGCGCTGCTGCAGGTCGGCGTCCTCCGCCAGCACTGCGCGAACGACAGCCTTCATTATGAGCGGGTACGACGTTGAGCCCGAACCCCAGTCGTGTTAGGCAGTAGCGCTGTCCTCGCACCATGACCGTCCAGGTAGGGCCACAGTCGGTGTTCCAGGCGCAGCTGCAGGTACGTCTTGCGCAGGTCCACCACGGCGACGCGCGTCTCTCACGCGCGAACACGCGCGTCACCACGGCCGCGTCCCATTCACCGCCAGCTTCTGGAGCTGGTCGGCGTAGACGTCTGCGTCTGCCGTGTGGGCCGTCACGAAGCTGTTCAGCTCGCGATAGTGCAGGAATGGTCTCGCCTCGTCCTGGTTTGCCTGCGTACCAGCCATCAGCGGCACCAGACGCCATTGCTGATCCATAGCGTCGTATTTTGCTTCGTACGCCTGCCGTGCGTCCGCAGGCACGGAATACTCGGCCACCACTTGCGTAGACATTCTGGACTCGTGCCACGTCCAGTCCACTTCCAAGGTGACTGTCCACGCCTGCCTGCTCGGCGCTAAACCCTCACCTGTAAATTCGGCCGCATCCATCTCCAGGCCTCGCTGGATAGCAGTCCGCCGCCGCACAGGACCGCACGTCTGTCGGCATCCGCACACTGATAAACCCCAGAGCAGTGATGCAACTCATGCCGAGCATGACGTCAACAACCCAGTGGTCGGTTCGGCACTACCTCGACCTCGAGCGTCACTCGACGGTCATTGGTATTGACTACAGTCGGTCCTTGGTATTGATGTGCTGCCGATCCCGCAGCAGCTGAGTTCCTCGCCGTTAGTCGTGACCATTTTCACCGTCAGTGGTGTCCATTGTCCGCAGCGGCCAGTGTGCACAAGCGTGTCCGTGCAGCCCGTGTCCACCAGCACGCTGACCATCCGCTCTTTCACCTCCAGCCGGGTGACGGGCAGCGCGCCACTTAATGGCAGGGAGACGGCGCTGGCGCTGGCGCGGCGTCCCCCGACCCGTTTCCCGTCCGACGCTGTGGACAGGCGACGGCGATGTGGGCCGACTCACTGCACGTCCAGCAGCGTCGCGGTGGGTGTCTCACCAAGCGTCAAACGGCCCGTCTCCATCCCGCGTGACGGCCCCGCTCCCGCTAGCCGACGCTGGTGTCGTTACGCCATTAGTCGTGACGGACGTCGTCACACCGCCTGCAGCCGCTGTGGGCGTCGCGGGCATTCTTGCCGAAATAGCTTGCATTCGATGAGTGAAATAATTCTCGGCCGGACTACCTCACACACAATAGTAAACTGCCGTATATGACACCGACAGGGAACCTCCACCTACGCACCCGAGCAGCACCTTTCATACCCCGTCCAAGACTCATATACGCAACACGATCTGCGTGCAACTGGCCGGCGCCACCGTGTCCCACCCCCGTCGGCGTGCCTACGGGTTAACGCGCCGCCCCGGGCCGTGACCGTTCACTTTACTCAGACATGAATCATCGCCCCACTTGGCTTGACATGTTGACACCGTCGCTGGGCATGATACAATCGCCACAGTGTTCCAATCTTTTTCTACGTGATTTGGGCCATATAAGCATCTATCAAGCATATGCTCGCACTGTTTGCTTTCTTGTGGCAGCAAATGCAGCTGGTCTGCCTCAACGAAACAGCGGTGGCTGTTGGCATGTTGCATAACGCCGTCATACGCGGTCAGCCCTCTCCAGCAGGCGGACAAGCCTGGTGCCATCAACCGACCGTTGCGGCACCAGGCGTACCGCCAGTTCATGCTGTGGAGGTATGTGAATGACTGGTACAGCCAAAGGCACCATGGCGGTAATACCTTTTTGTTCTGGCCATGAAATTGGCCGTGCATTTCTAACTGGTACGGCCGGATGGAGCCATTGTGATGCGATGGTGGGAATGTCACGACCGAGTGGTCAGCTCGTCGGACTCCCGCGGGGGGGCGATGGGGGAGGAAGGCGGGTTCAAATCCCGTTACGCCGTAGGCCCTGGGCACTAACACAGCCAATGCAATCGCTGGTGCTCCACGCAAGGGGCGTGATGATGCGCCACGTACTTGTCCCTATGAGGGAAAACGTGTTGTAACGGCAGATGCTACACCTTAACCCATTGCATTCTAACGGTGTTAGGTGTTTAATTGTTACCACTAAACCGTAAATTACCCGCTGTGCTCCAATTTTAGAGTGGCATGTGGCGATGCTCTGTCAACCAGGCTGTCGACAGTTGGGCTGGCTCGGCCTAGGCGTGCGTCGGCTGGTTCCGGCCTGCGTAGTGTCGGCTATCCGACAGAAGTGACCGGACCCGGCCGGCCATTGCGTCGAATTCCAATATCTAGACACGGTGTTTTAACCAAGACTACGGCCAATTGTAACCAAGATTACAGAGAACAAGGTACAGGGACGCAACCAAGTATGTCTTTCATCTCAGCTTTAAGATAATGCTCTATGTTAACCCAGGTGGTGTGGACAAGCGGCCCATGGGGTGCAGTGGTGGCACATGTACAACCCAGAATGTCTTTCTTACTCAGGATCGCTAGTCATCCCTGACAGCCATTGTGATGAAACGACGTTCTTGCTGGCGATAGAACTTTGGCACGGCGTTAGATCAGTTGATATCAATCATTTATAAGTTATAAACCGTCATCTCATAGACAGAGACTAGCCAGTTAACGCCGTACATTGTGTGATCGCACGCGTCAACGCCAACGGCGTCATTGTGACGCTACCTCAGCGCCGTACCGTGGCGTGGCGTACCGAACGATACGAGCTTTTGTGCTGCGATCCCTGCTTTCACAATACATGCCAAGGTGACAAGGCTGGTCAAGCGTGCATTCCTGCATTTATGTATTTCTGCATCATATGTATCATGGGCCAAAAACACCCGATACAATGCACACATCGCTTTCCGCAAGGCACACAACCAAGTGGAGTTACTTGTTCAGCATGTTTTCGAATCCACAAACGTACGTAAGAAAGACACAAACACATCTTCAGTGATTACGCATCTAACGATAATGAAAAATGAACCTGTCGCTCGCCCACAAACCTGACATGACAATTCTTCAGGGCCTCCGGTCTTGGCAAACATCGCATTACGTCCACCAGGGTGAGCAAAGCTGGGCTAGGCAGTCATGGCAAATGATGACAAAACAGCTTATATGACAGAACAAAACAAAGCAATCATGACACAACATGACATGACAATGATGTGACAAATGACAAAAAAAGCTACTGGAAATCAGCTGTGCCGAACGCGACTGTCCACCAGGCCCTCCCGGCTTTTGTCTGCCCGGGGTCCGCGGCGCACGAGGGGGTGTGCCCCACCGGAGTGCTTCCGACGGGCCAGTGATGGCGACCTGCATACGCCTGTCCACGATGGCCTCCAGGAGCGGGCGCACGTGCGGGAAGGTCTTCGGCGCCTTCACCGGCCGTACGATGTACTGGTCGGAGACACGGCTGGAGACGCGAGACGTTCTGGAATCATGCGACAAAGTTGGGCCAAACCTCTTTCATACTGGCATCCATCACTGGACCCTTTCCTGTCTAACTATCCAGCTAATTGTCTAACAAGATGTTTGACAAAAACAAGCATAAACACAGCATAGTATTGCAGACGTGACTTGTCGCCAAGCAGTTGCAAGCAGTCAAATGATAGCAAATCTTAGCCCTTGTCCACACCATTTCCCATGAATTAATTTCTGGTAGCTGTATCCAAAAATAACAACACGGTTATCACTTTGAACACACCGTCTAATCGTGAGCGTACAGTTCGCAGACGAATGCATGGTGTTCTTTCATGTGCCACACCGCCTGGCAGAGTCCACCCTGCCCTTTGACATCAACTGGCCTTAAGCCGCCACTGCCACCAAATGCAGGCCATCACAGCCATTGGAAAAACAGCGAGCAACACAGCTGTTCGCACTCACCCACTGCGCCACGTGTGCTACGACACCCACAAACTGAGGCGGACAAACGCCAATGGGATTCACCGCTAGGGACATCGCATTCATTGCATTTCGGGAGGTGGTGGAGGGCAGTGACGCCACGTCATGCACTACCTCACAGCGAGACACAAACGCTGCGGTGAACGACTGCTCACTTGACGTTGCCCTCCTCGTCCCTGGCATAGTCTCGGCTGCGGTGTGCGGACCAGTCCAGCACAGCTGCGCGCTTCCGGGTAACAAAGTCGAGAGGCCTGTAACAAGATATGTTATGTATATGTCGTGCTCAGCACTGCGCAAAAGCGCATACCGACAGGATCAGAACACCACTTATGATTGTGAATCATGACGTGACTTTGGATACGACAGAAACAGAGGCATTGCTGTACCCGCTGACATGTTGCGATTGTAGCGGCTGACCAGTCAAGAAGAACCTAGATCGTGCGCTTTCCCAAAAGGAAAAGATCATCGTAGAGAACGCAGGTTATTTAACACTTACGCGAAGTATTTCGGCTTTGGAGTGTACTCAAGGCTGGCTGCGTGAAACACCTCCAGGTTGTCAGTGCGCCTGCAATGATGCACAAATTAAGTGTGGCGTACGAACGTCACATGATTATTTCAGGCACGACGGATGTGGTCTGTGCAGTGTTAGCCGTGATGCAAATAGCACCGCTGTCGGTACAGCGATTGTGCAACCAAAGGCAACAATTTAAGTATATGCAGCACCACTGAAGCGAACGACTCCGTTTCCGTTCGCATGTAAGAAATCAGGAATTTGTCCGTCCCGGTGGCTTAGTTGGTTAGAGCGCCTGCCTTCCGATCCACCCACCCGTTGCAGGATGGGTTCGAGTCGCTTTAGGGCGCTCGCTATTTGCCCTTGACAGGTATGGCCTGTGACCGGTGGCAGCGGTCGTGATAAAGGTCAGTTGACGTTAGAGGGCAGGACGGACCGTGCCGAGCTTTGCTGCACGTTTTAAATTCTGCCGTTTCCTGGAATTGTGCGATCGGATGGTGGGGGCCTAGGCTCAAACAAGCACTGCTTAGCGCGAGCGCTGATTCCAGAAATCCATCCATTGAAAACGTCGAACTAATGAGCGGGTTTTACTGTTCATCGTACATTGCCTAGATGTCCTGGATAATGAAATCTAACGCGTCAGAAGACGACATGGTAAGAAAGCTATACGACTGGGAACACAGGAACTTATTCAGACACCTGTAGTTCACAACGAAGGCAGCGAGGTTCAGTGTGCGGTAGCTGGCCACGACCTCCCACAGGGCGTTGTGCGCCGAGGATCCCGGCAGCAGCCACGGCGGTTCCCGAGACTCGCCCTCCGGCACGTCAGCATGGTGACAGCGGTTGAGGCCGCTGGGTGTAGCGTGGATGTTTACCACGTGGTTTATGATCATCATCCACCGCTTCTGAAAAAAACAAACAAAAGCTGTCATCTGAAGGGACTAAATAGGCTGTCCTATGCCCCCATCCCTTGGATTGGGGTGATGCATTTACAACGCACTGTCTGTGCTAGGTTAAGTAAGGAAGTCACATAACAGAAACACCACAGCCACATCGAAACTGAACGTGCTAGACACATGTTCAGCATGCCATCGGACATGGGGCGGGGGTATTTCCGTCGTACCCAAAGTCGCGATTATTCTACATGATGATAATCATGAATTATGCTGAATTTTATGCAGAGGCGGGTTGACATATAACGACAACGAGCCCCACATGCGTTGCCATGCCCCGCGCGAGTCAATTTCGTGCCACTTTTCTCATCTGGCACGCCCCAAGTGTATTCAGGTGGTGGCCCCCAATGCTGCAATGTGACATTGTCACCTTGAACACGTCGACGTCTCCATGCGATGTTTGGGCGCACCACCAGAAGTGATTTTTGACGTGGCGCACCCATGGTCTCAGCGCCCGGTTTGTAGCCTTCGCTGCATGTTGGCGCAGGCGCTTCGCCACGTTCTTCGCAGCGTGCCTGACGTTGTACGAGTGCTGCACTCCTGGCAGACGTTGCCCTAAGTGGCAGAGGTGATGGTGACATTAAGACTTCGACCACCATGCCAACGATCCGACACAACACAGTTATTTCAGTGTGAGGGACAGTTTGTTTGAATTCATGGAGAGTGACACAAAAAGTGCCTTGGCGGTAACAGCGCACTCGGGATGCTAAATGCCCGGTTATAAACATCTCCGAATGCTGTGATTACCAATATGGCCATAGAGCGTTTGGTGCAACACACATGACTGAAAGAAGAAAACAGGAAACACCGGAGGAAACGCAGAGCCCAAGGAAACAAAACAACCAGTGACAGGCTACGAAGCAAGTCTGACCGATAAATTATTACAACCGTCGCCGTTGTGTTCGACTTACTGACAACCTTCCGGACACCCAAGTGCTGATCAGATACGAACTCCTTGATGGGCATTCCTTCGAGGTCGCTAAGGCAGCGTGACAGGCCTTCCACCTCCAGCTTCGGGCTGGAGAAGCCGACCTCCTCACGGCACATAGTGTTCTGTGTGCATGCACGTTTGGAAATGGCTCAGCATTAGAAACACAACTGGAAATGCTGGATGTCCACGACGATTTGGAGTTTTCGGGTGCGTCGACTACGATTGGCCATGTAACGACCGCAATGACTACACAAATGTTTTACGGTGAATAAGCTGTAAGCCAAATTCTAACCAGAAGACATATCAAAAATGGATATTTGCGTCATTCAGATGTCAAGAAATGACCGCCTTGACGTACCATAGCCTAGCAATGTATACCAAAGGCAACCCATAAAACTTCTGCTCGCAGTTTAACCCATCACAGACAGCACCCCAATTTGATTGGTAAATCGCCAGTGCTCACCGGACAAACATTCCCGGAGAAATCCTCACGCCAACGCTGACTGCCATACCTGCGCTATGATGTGGCCAGTTGTGTGGTCCATTATGGCGTAGCAGCCATATGTCGCCGAGAAGCCAGGGCCGTCACTTTGGCGGTTACCTGAGGCACAAAGCACGATCTTTCACATCAGTATGATCTTTGTCACCAGATGAGATGGTTTTGCTACCTGGACCCTTTCCGAGCGGTTTGTTACCACCACTCAGGTGATCGTCGAAAACAGGTTGTAAGCAGATAGCAGTGCTGCAAACAGGTATGTTTTGTACAGTGACGCGTCAAACTTCCTACCAGGGAGGATGGGCAGTTTCGGATACCGAACAACTCGTGACAAATGTTGGTTGCACGGAGCGAGCGTTCGTCGGTTTCCCGTACTGGACAGCGCACTAAGTGCGGGTACAGCGATCAGAACGAACATTAACAAACGAGGAGAGAAGCATGGACGCGCCGCATCGTGCCAGATCGCGGCGAGGTAAGCCGGACAGGGCGCACCTAATACAGAGGTACATACATTGGGGTCATCGTCCAGTCATGGGGACTTACCAGCAACCACAAGACCATCAGGTGATGCCACGAGAGCCGCCTCTCGGTTTTCAGTCAGAGTCCTGTTGAACGCCTCCTCAATCACTGGTGCTACAACGATTTGTGTGATACGGCTGTACGCCGTCCGACTGAGCTGCCCTATGTTTGCGAAGGCCAACAACTTGTTCAGCTTTTCCAGATGACTGCCGCTGAGTACGACGGCCGCAACAAGTAGGGTGTCTATGACCATTGTGTGGCCCTCCTTCGGCGTTGACACCCACTTATTGGCGACAGTGGCACATGTTTTGCATTCCTAAGACAGATAACCAAAAGGGATTAAAGACCAGTCTATCACGAAAGCAGCATACATCTCCGCACGAGTGGCAGCGTGACGTCACAACCAGGATATTGCAGACGTGACAGGCCTCGGGCAGCCAAAAGATGTAAATCACTAAGAAATGGTGAAACCCACAAATTACGTTGCGTGCGGCTAGTTATGTGTGAGTGATGTAAAGTCAAGTATTGAAGTAACTTAGCCAAGCAAAGCTTGCAAAAAAAACAACAAAAACTAGCACACTATACAACATTGCAAGAATACAACAAAAAGCAGGATGCAAGTCATTTCAAAGTTATTCTGGTCGGTGATATGAATATGCATTTCTGACAGCATCCCCAAATGAGACTCACCCATGTGACTGTGAATGATACAGTGATGCGAGTGACGTTCACGCCGCACCTAGCACCGCAACGGGTGCAGAGCACCGCGGTGGCCTCAGCCAGCTCGCGCAGCTGGGGCTCAGAGACGACAGCACTGCGGGTGCCCCAATGACGGCCGTCCTCCTCCGTCGCTCCGACGTTCACGTCTTCTTCCTCTGCGGTTTCCACCTCCATGTTAGGACTACTGGAAACAGGTCCGTACTAACAGGCAAGAGCACCAGCAGGAACGACGCCTAATGGGCCTACAGCATTCTTCAGATTTGGGAATGTACACTTTAGAGCCACAAAAGCAAGAAGACCAAACAAGAAACACCTGATGAAAGACCATGGTGGGGTAATACGCATGACATGCGTTAAAATATTTCCATACCACAGCCAAACGATATGGAAAAAGGCGAGGACTTCTACATGTGTCTACAACATCATCATGCCGTAGCCAAACAGTACATTCAAGCATCAAGCTGAGTAACATGACATAGTGCAAGTTCACTACTAATCTCGTCATCGTACATCTGCTCGAGCTCCACAGCTGCGTCCAAAGTGGTTGCTTGGTCGGGAGTCGACGCCGAGCCCTGGCTGCCGCCGGGTGTAAAGGCGCTCGGGGTCCATGCAACGTCGGCTGGCTCCCTGGTAGCCTGTGAGGTTCTGCAAGCAAAAGATAAGGAGCGGTGGAAACATCACGCTTCGACTCGGCTTTAGCTTAAGGCTTCAGCTTATGGAGGTCATATGCATTATTCGAGGAGGCTGACCACAAATGCGAAAAAATCACTGAGCCTTGGTGACAAGCTGATTACCCATCACTGTCATTAATTAACTTACATTGATGCTGGCTTGAAATAAACAGCGTTAAAGTCGCTTTGTACTCACTGGCAGGATCTCAGCTGGGCTCGCACATAATCTCACGACAGTAATGCGCGCGCGCGCGCGAGCGACCGGATTACCACTGCCCCACGGGCTCGGGCACATGTCAGCTGGTGACCAGTCAAGTGATCTGACGGGTTACCCGACCCGGCGCTGGGAGGCCTATATCACAACAGAAATTGTTCCAGTTATGTTGTCAATTTTTTCTTAATAAATAAAGTGACGTGCACACCATTAGAAGACAGTACTAACATCGGCGAATGAAACGCCCGTGGTATACTCGGCATGGCCAAGTCCTCAGTGTCACCCGTGTCGCCATCGCCACCCATATTACCGCCGCTGGCGTGCCTCCTACCGCCATCTCCGCCACCAGGTTCCCCCAGGTACCTGTAGTGAAATGAAACACTGCTTAAAAACGCAAAACAGGAGAAACACAGGATGAACATGACTGAAAGCCGCGGATTTTTCTGCCCTTATTAAAATCATGCAAATGGCAAACACCATTCATAGGCTCCGAATCAATTGCTGGAGTCTAATTTCATTCACAACAGTAAGATGCTGCATGTTTGGAACAACTCACATCATACTATTAAGATCTTTGGGATGAGAAAATTTGCATAGAATAATGGGTGACAATATCTTCCTGTAGGCTTGGGCAATGTTGTAAAAAAAATCATAGCCAAGTGCAATACATACAAGCAGTGCTCCTGAAGCTGTGTGCACATTGCACGGTACAAAGTTGTGTAGTCTAAACAGTATTCTGCTGCCTGCACAAACCAATGGTTACCCTTTAGCAAGATGCAGGATAGTACGCTTGACTGATGGTAGGCCGGCCTTTCGCATCGCACGTCGAAGGATCATGTATGTGCTGTTGGATACCACCAGCTTCTTACTTGTTGTCAAGTGTCTGGAACATAACAGTGCGATAAGGAAATTGTAATAGACTGCAGCTGTGGAGACATACCTATGATGATGACTACATCATCTCAGGTGGGGACTTATTGGTAACTCTACTCTGGCTTTAGAGCATTGGAGCAAACAAGCTGCATTAGTGTCTTATACAGCATTATCTGTACAATACCACATGAAAATAAGTAATTTTGCTAATTAAAGACAAATACAAGGCTGCTAGTCCCTTTAGTCTTTTTGGTGTGTCATTGAGTCGTTTAAGTCCCTAAGGTCTTACAAAGGGCCTCGTGTTTGGCATGAATATGGCTATTATAAGATGATGTCAATATCACTCATGATTGCCAATTTAAGCATCTTTATGGCACTACTGAATTCAGTTTTTGGTATTGTTTCTGAGACAAATTCCAATCTTCTTATTCAAAAAGTAAACTAACATTCAAAGTCCGACCCCAAAAGAAAACATGCTGACCTAGATTCTGGTCTTAGAGATGGTGTAGATGCTGGAAGCACTGGGGTGCCTGGAACACCTTCCCTGAGCTGAAAACAATTCAGTACATCAATCATCATTATCAGTAAGATTAACAATGAACAAGGCCATCACACAATGTACAGATTATGGGACAGCACCGTGACATGTGCTCCAAGTGTAACACAGAATGATGTTTTACTTACATTGCATGAATGTTGACATCAGAAATGAGACCTCAGTCAACTTAGGCAACATGGACCATTAATATTACACCATTTAAGACAAACACATCATAAATTTACCCCAATCCAAACTGAAGGCAAGACTGTGCCCTATAAATGACTGAATGCCTTGCCATGCATTTCACAGTATATTAACTGGCAGACATTTGCTTAAAGGCACCACTCTGAAATGCATGAATGAATAATGACTGAAAGAGGAAATGAAAATGAATGAGACAAAAGATGGTCACAGAAATTTCATGTGTGCTCTAATGTCAAATAAGTTCAGGCCTGAATGCTAAGGCTATATAAGAAGGGTCTGGGAAAAAAAATAGACAAGAACCAAGCATTCACAAACCTGCAGAGATGGCACCGCATTGGGCTTCAGCCTTTTCCTTTTAGTTGCTAGGCTGGAAAAAGCTTCTGATGAAAAATGTGCCTGGCACACTCCATGACCGGGAGCCACAACACTGAAGTGACATGCTTCAAGCCACTTCTGTAGGTGGACTTGTTGAAATGGGAATCTGAAAGGATCACAGTAATAAGGAAATTGGATAACTATACAATACAATGGACATCTTCTACTTCAAATGAATAATGCAAACTGACAATATCTGTCCTCTGGGTGTGCTTTAATAATTGTGTGATGTGCCAATTCATCAGAAGTACCGACTACGGACAACATGTATGTAGCCAAACATGCCTGACACATGTCAAAATGCTTGTCATCCCAAAAATAAGCAATACAAGCTGAGGCCATGCACCCATGAACTCTGCAAGCTGCGAGCATGGTGCATGACTGTCACCGATTTCAGTGAATGGTGAGCAAATTTAGAGTTTTGAAATTTGAAGAATGCCCATAAACAAAACCATTTCTCAAATTGGTGGCAACCATAAGCCCACCTCCTTGCACATGCACCCGCCATTCAGCTGTCACGCGCATCTGTTTTTCATTGACTTCGTTTTATTTTTGGAGGTATTTTTGCCGGATATTGCTAGAAATGCATACCTATTCCTCAAACTGAGACAAAAATTGAAAGCAACCACACTGAAGGGAAAGGTCCCACATGGACACTGCATGCGAGATTGAGACGTGCATACCCTGAACTTTGGGAGAACATATTAGAACTGATACCCAGAATGGACTGGGAGCGAGGTACTCACGCGAAAACAGTCAAATTATTCTCGTTTGTCCTGCGATCACCACACACACAACACTTTATGTTAGGCATCCCGCACCGACGCAAATAGGACACCGCTTAGGAGTGAGCACAACGCGGAAAAACGCCCCGTCGAGTGCCGCACAACCCGAGATTGTTCACGATTATGTTCGCGCGTCCGGCAATTTAGCAGCAGATTGATATCAAACTGCCGGTTGGATATTGCGGGGCGTCACGATCGCCTCCAAATTTGATGTGCAGGACCCTCTCGACACGCTGATTCCGCAAATCAAAGTCTTTAAGCTGGAATTTTGCGTAATTTCCGAGTTATACGCCGCATAACATCCCAATGTGATATCGCGGGGCGTCTCGATTGCCTCCAAATTTGGTGTGCCCGGCCTTCTCAACACGCTGATTTAAAAAATCACTGCCTTTGGGATGGAATTTTGCGTAATTTCTGAGTTATACGCCACTTAACATCTCAATGTGATACTGCGGGGCGTCTCGATTGCCTCCAAATTTGGTGTGCAGGACCTTCTCAACACCCTGATTCAGAAAATCACGGTCTATGGGGTGGAATTTTTGCGTAATTTCCGAGTCATATGCCGCGTAACATCCCAATGTGATATTGCGGGGCGTCTCGACTGCCTTGAAATTTGGTGTGCAGGGCCTTCTCAACACGCTGATTCCGAGCATCACTGCCTTTGGGGTGGAATTTTGCGTAATTTCCAAGTTATGCGCCGCTTAACACAACAGTTGGATATTGCGGGGCGTCTCGATTGCCTTGAAATTTGGTGTGCAGGGCCTTCCCAACACGCTGATTCCGAAATCACTACCTTTGGGGTGGAATTTTGCGTAATTTCCGAGTTATACGTCGCGCAACACAACAGTTGGATGTTGCGGGGCGTCTCGCTTGCCTCCAAATTTAGTGTGCAGGGCCTTCCAACACGTTGATTTCGAAAATCACTGTCGTTGTGGTGGAATTTTGCGGAATTTCCGAGTTATACGCCGCGTAACATCATAATGTGATATTGCGGGGCGTCTCGATTGCCTTCAAATTTGGTGTGCAAGGCCTTCTCAACACGCTGATTCCGAAAATCACCACCTTTGGGGCGGAATTTTGCGTGATTTCTGAGTTATACGCCGCGTAACATCCCAATGTGATGCTGCGGGGCGTCTCGATTGCCTTCAAATTTGGTGTACACGGCGTTCTCAACACGCTGATTCCGAAAATCACTGTCTTTGTGGTGGTATTTTGCGTAACTTCCGAGTTATACGACGCGTGACACTTCAGTTGCGCTTTGGAATATGTGTCCTGGAATTCTCCTTTGGGCCTGTCCGTATCAGTTCACTGGAGTAGGTCAGTTCGTGAAATGTGAGTGATAACCGTGTGGTATGTGATATCACTGACTTGGTGGTAACACCCAGCGGCATCCCTCTCAGCTTTGCTTCGTTTCTGACCTTTAAGGTGATGGAGTAATAGTGCGACGTAGTCACGGGCATTGTTTGTCCTAACCGAAAACTGACAAGATGTCGCTGGGGACCAAACCAATCGTGCTTCACCGCTGGAGCCTGAAAATTTGGGTGATGTCACCGTCTGTCTTATCTCCCAAGGACGCTGGTGACGCTGGTGGAATAGCGCATGCTACTTGTGCACGCCATGCCCATGTTGTTGGCTGGCCGGCCACATCAGCCCGATGCTGCTGACCGTGGTGGAGACGCTGCTTTTCGCGAGCCTGCCGGACGGCGGTGGCGACACACCGGTGGTCAGGGGGCCCGCCAGCTGATAGCCGGCCGGCCGGGGGCATCGACACACCGGTGGTCAGCGTGTTGAGAAGGCCCTGCACACTAAATTTGGAGGCAATCGAGACGCCCTGCGATATCACATTGGGATGCTACGCGTCGTATAACTCGGAAACTACTAAAAATTCCACCCCAAAGGCAGTGATTTTCGGAATCAGCGTGTCGCGAAGGTCATGCACACCAAATTTGGAGGCGATCGTGACGCCCCAGAATATCCAACTGGCAATTGGATATCAATCTGCTGCTAGATTGACAGACGTTCGCGACAAGCATTCAACAGTAAAATCTTACTAACAGTCAAACACCTTCCATGGACTGTACCACATGTGCAGCACATGGGCGTAGGAACATGGAGGGGGACAGGGGGGCCATGCCCCCCACTTTTCAAAGTGGGGGGTAGCAATGTTAACTGCCCCCCCCCCCCACACACACACTTTTCAGATTAAGGTTGCACTTGGCTTACTTTTGCATTAAATTAAACATGCATGCCGATTTACCTAGTTCACCAGCCATCTCTCTCAAGATGCGTCCTTTGTTCGCTTGCACATTGGACATCACTTAATGTTACAGTCGCAAGGCCGACGCCATACGGCCTGGAGACTGCAACGCCGGGCGTCGGGGCTGTTTTGCTGACTTGCGAGCACGCATGTTCAGCATCACATTACGTAATTTTCTTAGCAGTTATCAGCTTCGACAGGTCTTGAGCATTTTAAGACGAGCATGGATTAGCCATCTTAATAATATTGGGAACACTATTTGATCTACAATGTACAGTCAGGGAGAACTCAATATCTCTGAAGAGCACAGAAAGACACGGAACAGGAGTCTATGTAACAACATAGCCGACTGCCCACGGTGATCAGGGATGATCTGCGTCGATGAGGGTTCCTGTGCTGATCTGGGGCTTACCGCGCGGATCAGAAGGCCCCCGTGTCAGGGATGGGAACAACGTGATACGATATATCCTTATAATGGCCTCTGGATCGACCAGATCCCGCCCCGTGCCACCAGAATGATAGCCAGAAGACACTTCGCGATGGGACGGAATGGCCCTTCAGCCCTTGACCAGAAACGGCAAGGTATCCCTGGTGTTCTGCCCAAGAGGCCCCTCGCCTGTAAGGAAATAAGGGGTCTAATTATTGTCGAGTAGAGTGGGGCTCTCATTGTTGAATAGAGCGGGTCGAAATGATTTAAAGAAACGAGCAAGGTCATGCTATGTTTGCCTGAGAAAGTTCAATTTTGAGAATGTATTTTTGAAACAAATTATATTAAAAGGCCTGAATACGCCCGCCCGCAACTTCAAGGGCAAGGACAATGATGGTCTGGGTTGCAACTTCCGTAAAACCGAAAAGTTTCGGCCACTGCAAGTGCCACCAGGTGGCGGGGCATTGTGAATCTGTCTTCTGGACAGATAAATAGCTGCGAAAACACGAAAAATATAGATTTTCCTCTCACTCTTCCAGTTCAATCACTAGATTTCAGCCCCATTTCGCTGTGCTTTAGGGGCCAATCCGTTCTTTTCATCAATCTAAAAATTGCCACGTGAAATATGCGCTCAGAATGCCTTCTAAATGCGTGATCTGATATCATGAAGCGTCCAAGGATACTTTTTCGGAAGCGTCGTCATTTTCGTCCAACCGTTGACCACAACTTAATATTAGCTGCTGGGCGGGTGCCGCGCGGCCTATGGAGACCAAGGTCCTAGAATGGAGACTGCAACGCCCGGGGTCGACGCTTGTGTTTCTAAAATTTTCCGCTGTGCATCTCAAAATTACGTCACGTAACTTGTATTACTAGCTGATTTAAGTGCTTTAAGGTGGTCATTTCAGAAGCGTCATCATTTTCGTCCACCGTTGGACCACAGCTAAATATTAGCTACTGAGCTAACGCTCCGCAGACTACGGAGACTGCAACGCCTGGTATCGAAGTTTCTGTTGCTAAGATTTGTGAGCGCGCATGTTAAAAAACACGTTACATAAAGGCAGTGCGTATACACCCTCCAAAATGGAGGGCGGTTACGCACCGGGCTTATACACCCTCCAAAACAGAGGGCGATTACGAAAACTCCAAAATTACGAAAACAAAACTCCAAAACAGAGGGCGATTACGCGCCGTGCTTAAACGCCCTCCAAAGACCTTTCAGATGATTACACGCGTCAGGCATAAGCGGATTGGCAGTCTTCTAGGGAAGGCGGTGCAAAAATGCAGAACCCCGTGCGAAAAGTCGGTTCTTTGCGTGATAGACATCAAACGATAACGAAATCCATCAGCTCACTCTGAACCATTTCTATTATTATCACGAATCTTCGGCCACCGGGTCCGCACCTCCAGTGGATGGGGGGTTAGCGTGCTGGTCTCGCACGCGGCAAGCCCGGGTTTGAATGTCGACGGCGGCCGCTGGTAAGTGGGTGGCTTCATAGTATATCGGCGGGATGCCATGATGCTAGCTCACCTCAGTCCTAGGCGGAATACATGCTAAATAGGGCTTTTTATATAGGACGGCACCGTAGTTTTTAACGCTATAGGGAGGGAGTCCACACCCTACAGAGATATTGAGGATCCCGTGAAGGTTGACTGTAAATCTAAATGAGTGTAACACACTGAATAGCCGTTGGAAATGACGCATACGACGGCGGAGGCATGTAGAATTACGTTCGGCAATTGCGCGTAAAAATTCATTGGCGCGTACTCGACTGCTGCTCAAAGGTGAAGGCACCAAGGCCAATATGGACGGAACCTGAGCAGTCATGGGTGCCGTATGAGACCAACACAGTGGCTCCCGTCAACAAGTATAGGGTTCTCAGAGCAAGCAAAGGAACTCAAGACCAACGTGGTGGGCCCCAAAACGATTGGTAGTGTCTCGACGGGCTGACCTGTGAAGCCCTAGTCGTAGTACAGTGCCCTCCGAGCAAAGGGGAATTATTCAAGACTACAAATTAATGCCCCTGTACAATCAAAAGTCATCCGCAATGAGACCAAAGGTCAGAAAGCCCCCGATCAAGGTTGAGGGCCCCTGAGCATCGAGCGTGTCCGTGCGTTACCTTATAAGATCCCTAGCAAGGGCACAAGGCCCTTCAAGCAAGTAGGAAGTGCCTGATAATTATATAAAGGGCCCCTGAGCAACTGACTATACTCTGGCTTATGTGGCCCCGGAGAAAAGTGCATGTAGCCTTTCGGGTGAATGGGAAGAATCTGTGGAGCAAAACCCGATTGATCAACAATGTTCAAGCACGGAGGCAGATAGCGTTCCAACAGCACCTTGGGCCCTACAAAAAAAAATGGGAAGAGATCAAGGGTAACGTGGAAACCTTAGCGATCAGAATGACGCAACAA